GTTTGTTTTCTAACAAAAATTATGTGTTTTTGGTCCGCAGCGAGCACACCAGCTGGTGTGGTTGGAGGCTTACCCAACCCCAACCATCATGACCCGTGGAACCGTCTACACGGTGGCCCATCTGTGTTCCCGCCCGGCCCCAGCTGGGCTAAAGGAGCAGATAAGCGGGACGATAGGGATCGAGGGAAGGAAGGCGAGAGGAGAGACATCCCCCACATCAAGGATGAAAAGGACAGGTATGACATTCAGCTGATTTTAATACTTAATACTTAATGAAATAGCTTCAATTTTTTGACATGAGGCAGTTTTCGTTAGCAATCAGTACCCAAGTTACTGTTAATTCAAGTGTGATACTGTGTATTGCAGCAACAGTTTACTAGTAAAAGCTTATTTAAGTGGCCCACCTAGAGCTGGTAGAGTCCGACCTGTGGACCTTTCCTGTCTGTCTTTAGCTGTCCTGTCTAATAAAAGCAAAAAAAAGCCCTCAAAAACTAGTTTAAATGATACATAAGGATTATTATGAATGATTTTTCCATTATGTAACTGTTGTGCACGTTATGTTTTGCAGAGACAATATGCTGTATGGCCGACAACCTGTGAGAATGTCTCCAGTTGCCTCTTCCTTCAAGCCCCGCAGTAGCACCCCAGTTTCCCACATTAACGGCCACAGCAGTGCCCTGGGTGGGAGCAGTGGCCCCATTGAGGACCTGACACGCAGCTTAAGTAGAGACAGAGAGCGCGAGCGAGACAGAGACGGAGATAAGAGGCCAACGGTGTCTTCACGTGGGCTGCCTGTTGGCTCTTCATCTTTAGTAGCAGACAGGGACAGACCGCGGTCTTCCTCGTCGTCTGTGCTCACTACTCCCCCTCCCTCCAACCGCTCAGCCCCATCTCCTTTGGACCTTTACCCCCGCGCACTGGCCCCAACAACACACAGCCTCCACAACGAACCCTCACACTCCCAAAGAGACGGCAACCTCCCCTCTTCCTCCGCAGCTTCTGCCTCTGTCACTTCTTTGTCTCAGGCCAAGAAGTCTGACCGGACCACAACGCCCGTCTCCAAACCGCCACTGCTTCTTCCACCAGTTAAAGTCAAAGAGGAGCGGAAGGAGGAGCCGGAGCACATCCCCATCTCCCTGCCTCCCCCGGTGCAGAACCACAGCTTTGAACGGCCCAACAGCCATCCACACCACCATAGTTCTGGTACCCCTTCTTCCTCCTCTTTATCACTGACTCCCACTCCTGGTGTTCCCCTAATGCAACATACTCCAAACCACGCTCCTTCCCACCAACACCTTTCCCTGCTGGAACGCTCCAGGGCCATGGAAGCGTATCTGGGGAGCACAGCAGGTGCAGGGTTGGTAATGGGTCCAGGGGGAGAATGTTTTGCCCATGGTCCAGGCCAAGGACCACTGCAGGGTCCACATAGCTTCACCTGGGAGCCCTGGAGGGAGCTTACACCTCAGCAGCATCATCAGCATCATCAGCATCGCAGGGAGGCTTTGGCACTTCGGTCAGAGCCTCACCTGGCCCGACTGTTCCATCACCACCCTCCGACTTCTACCTCCGCTGCCTCCAGCTCTGCTGTCCGCCAGGAGTTTGGCCTAATGGCCCATCACTTTGACCGCTCTCACCTCGGACACCCGGGCGGAGGGCTGATCGATGAGGAGCAGCGCACCCAGATCCTGAGGGAAGACTTTGAGCGGGCTCGCTACTTTGGGATGCACCCACACCTCCCTCCTGGCGCTCACCTCTCGGGCCCCTCTCATGCTGCTACTGCCGCTCACCTGGGGCAGCTCCACCGCGGCCTTCTCGCCCACTCGCTCGCCCACGGCTCTCCTGCTGCCCAGCACCACGCTGGCCTCTACACCCGTCTCGGCTCACTGAACCCACACCACGTGCCCAACGGCATCCTGGCAAAGACCCCTGCAGGCTTGGTGGGAGCCCTGGCAGTGGGGGCCCCGCCTCCGCTCATTCCGTCCATCACCAGCCGGTCGTCCACACCTCCCCGCGGTTCTAGACTTGGGCCAGGTGAGCTGGCACTGTACAGCGCCCACAAAGACGGAGAGTCCAGATAGTACAGGGACAACACTGGAGGAGATTAAGGGAAATGTCAGGATCACTGTGCTGCTCTCAACCTGCCCCCCTTTTCCTCTTGCAGACTACTAACCCCTGCCCTCCCAGTAACACAACCAAACCAGTTCCAGTCCCCTGCAAAAAAAAAAAAAAAGGGGGTAACCACGACTGGCTGGAGGTGATGGTAGGGAGGGAAATGCAAGACTTGGAATATGCGCAATGGTTCTATCAGTGCAATTTAAAGGTACATGGTTTCTGTGCATCCTTGGTGTATTTTTTATTTTATACTGGCTGTTGGTTATTACAGTAGTCGATTTCAGAAGCTGTACGAAGAGGCAGAGGACAGCTTTTTTTTTTTTTCATTTGTCAGGTGAATTATGATCCATGCTACTTAGCAAGCCTTTTTTCCGGTTGGATTGGAAATGACTTCCAGAGGGATGTACACTGTGAAAAAAAAACAAAAAAAAAAAAAAAAACATGTCAAGGGTTCATCCTCAGCTTGGTTAAATACTCACGGGACATTATAAAGCCCTCCTCTACATAAATCACCCCTGAGTAGGCATTGTGGATGAGGGTCTTTAGAAATACAGTGGTAACAGTGGTGCTTTCTGTTCTGTCTTTGTGTCTTTTTGTCATTGTGAGAAGACAAAATTACTGATGACACCATTTCAACGAAGATCCGTAAGCATCACACCTCAGTTTCCTGCTTTACCCCCCCCGCCCCCAAAAAAAAAAAATCTAAACCCAAACCCCTCAGCTTCACTGATAATGAGATTCAACCTCTTTTGGCTTGTTTTTTTTGTTTGTTTTCAAAGGATGAATGGCGAAATGAACTGTGCTACACTGTGTGAGTGAACACGGTATTTTAGAGCTTCCTGTAACTGTTTCCCCAGTCTCCTCTTGACTATATGTGCAGGACCAGATTATAGTAGTCTAGAGAAATTGCCTTTGTAATTATTATTCTTAACATTAATTATCTTCTATAATAATAAATATATTCACTGTTATGTTATTTGTCTTTGTTTCGGGTATCAACCAGTACTCTCTCTCTCCCCAGGTAGTAATCTGTTTCAAATCATGCAAAAGACAAAGCAAAAGGCTTGCTTCACAAAACTTTTTAATGCTCGTGAACATTAAGCCGTATCCATTGCAACCTCTGGCCTCTTCAAGGATCTCATCTAGGACTTTATTATGCTCAGAGGGAGGTTTGCCTTGTGTGTCATTGGTTGTGTGTTATATCCATTTGGGACTCTGGGAGCCTTGTACATTGAACTGTCGAGTTGTTTCATCAACGAGAGTAAGTTATATACATGGATAAGTGGGACATCTGCTGAAGAACTGAAAAAAAAATATATGTACTTGTGTCAAAAAGACAGCTAGACAGTGGGTATCCTGAGAGGGAAAAGACTGGGTCGATTATTTTAATATGACCATTTTATACCTTTCAAACCCCTCCCCTAGAGACCACAAAGATTAATTATTAAATGAATTGTTGTTTACTCTGTTGTGTGGGTCTTTTGTTCTGACTCTCTTTTATATTAGGACAGCAACTATCGTTTTAATTATTCATTATTTCTTGATATAAAGTCATAAAACTGGGAAAAATATGCATCACAATGTGTCAGAGCCGGAGCTGAAGTATCAAAAACAATTGGTTTGTCTGACAGACCGTCCAAAGCCGGAGCACATTTAGTTTACTACCTGAGAAAACAAAGAAAAACAGCACATATTTGCATTTTCCAGTCGTTTTCTTTTGTCCTTTCTAATTAAAAGAAATGCTGATTCATTTTCTGTCAATCAACTAATTGTTTCAGCTTCATTAAATGTAGTTTATATTCAATATCTCAGCTAAATTACTTCACACACAGACAGATTATTATTGACACCTGGATTAATATCATATATCTATTATCTAAACAGACCAAAAGCAACTGTCATTAATGTTGCATTGAAAGGGAATAAGCAGGAAAGTACATTATGTATTATTAAAGTTAAAATAAATGCATGCTCCAAAAATCCAGGGTTTCTGCTCATACATGTAATAAAACTTTAAAAAAAACTTGTTTATTATAATACATATATCTTCATTATCATCTATTTATCAGAAGAATGAAGCGAAATAATTACAAAACCTATTGTTATATGAAATCTAAGCACAGGGTTGACAGGCGGAATATATATATATATATATATATAATCGTTTTACTTTCACAGTCAATATTAATATAATTATCCGAGCGATTTATAAAAAACAAAGTCTTTAAAGTAAAAAATAAAACAATT